TGAATAAACTAGATAGTTACCCGGGCGTCGTTTTTCTTCAAACGACTTCATTTGTGTTTCAATATCCTTATTCCGGCTTCCAAAAAATCGGTAACAAAATATACACTTTATAGCACTCCCCAAAAATTAATTTGGCAACTAAACCCATTTCCGTCGCCAGCAAATAATTCAAAATAAGTCGTTTTATTTTCGACCCAACTGGCCAATTGAAACAAGATTGCACGACGTTTCGACCGAATTCCGGTTCTTATCAAGTGCTTTAATTCAAGTTACATCGATCCGCATAACAAACTTAATTGCATCGTTGACGTGGTGTCCTGCCAACGTCAAGACAAACGCAAAACTAAATCAGGAACAAAAAAGAAAATAATACATTTAACAATAGAAAAACTATACAAAATCATTACAATATCGCGCTAGTCAAAAACAATAAAATCAATTAACGCTGTAAAAATTAGTTAAAAGCTTACAATTCTTATGCGTTCCAAAACAAACGGTGAAATCAAAACGTCACCAGCCATATCGAGGCACAACGTCCGAACAGTAAGACAGTCAAAGTCGAAATGAAGTTGTCAAACGTAATCCGCGGATAGCAAACGGCGCTCTGGTGGAAAAACGAGCAGAACCGAATATACAGGGCCGACTAAGTAATACCAATGACACGGTTATAAATAGATGGCAGGCTCTCAGTATCGTTTTGTAAATTGATTGTGCAATCATGTTTTTTAATGAAAAACATTTTTGATATTTCTCTTTTTTGAAATGTTTTTCTTTGTATAAAATTTTCGGATGTTGCCACTTGAAATCATGATTGTGTGCAAGACGGTGTTTGCTCACAACAGAATGATTATCTATATTTTTCCTGATATCACATCGATGTTCTTTGATGCGTTTTTCTAAATGCCTTTTTGTCTGGCCAATATATACCGCATCACAATTTGCACAATCAATTTTATGAACTAACTCAGTCTGACTGAGATTCGGCAACTCGTCTTTACCCTTCCTAATGACACAATCTAATCTCTTCGGGATGGTGTGAAGAACTCTAAAGTTCATGTCTCGCATTGTACGGCTAACATTCTCGCTAAGGCCCTTTATGTAAGGTACAGTAATGCACCTTCGAGGATCTTGGGCCACTTCGCTACTGACAGGATCATTGTTGTTACGATTTCGCAATTCGCCAAGCCGGACATTGACATATTTATCAACAACTTTCTTCGGGTAACAATTATTAATAAGGATCTTTTTTATTTCACTAATATTAGACTTGTGAAACCGCGCGTCGGACAAAAGAATCGCCCGACCAACCAAATTCCTTACGATGTTAATTTTATATTTTATAGGATGGTTTAAAAAATAATTTATATACTGGCCCGAGAAAGTTGGTTTACGGAACCAATTCGTGAGCAATGAGCCTCCCTCGCGGATGACCGTGGTGTCAAGGAAACTCAATTTACCATTGCTTTTCATTTCATAAGTGAATTTTAATCTATCGTGATAATTTTGAAATTAAAGATACTAATGTTAAAACTGTCTAATAATTCCCTAATACCCGACTCGGGAACAACCGCGAAAATATCATCCACATATCGTTTGAAAAAGGATATCCTGAAACTGAGCCGCTGTATACAATGTTTCTCTAAATCCTCCATGACCATGTCAGCCAAGATAGGAGAGAGGGGAGACCCCATCGGGCTTCCGAAGATCTGTTCATAAAATTGGCCGTTGAACATAAAACTAGTAGAACTGAGGATCAAGTCTACAGCACTCAAGAATTGTGGAAGGCTGAGATCAGTTTTTGTAGTGATGTAATTCTATCTCTCTTGAATCGCTTTCAAAACAAGATCTTTAGGTACGTTAGTGAAAAGAGAAGTGACATCTAACGAAATTAAAACGTCACCGTCTCCCACTCTTACTCCTCTAATCAATTCTACAAAAAACCAACCATCCTTAACATATGATTCAGGTTTAGGAACAGATTTTTCTGAAATATTTTGCAAACGACTGGCGATATTATAGAGCGGACTGCCTAAAGTGGAAACAATTGTACGTAATGGTGAGCCAATTTTATGAATATTCGGGAGCCCGTAATATGTATGAAAATAATCGTTGTTAGCATAGAAAAAGTTGTTGACAACATGACCAGGTAAGAGCGCACGAAGTTGGTTCTCTATTCTAATAATCTTGGAACAAATAAAACATAAATTAACATTAGTATCTTTAATTTCAAAATTGAGGAATTTTGTCTGTATGCGTCTCTTGAAAAGAGTAAACTCATGTTTTACCCTATTACTATGCAATTTGATATTCAACTGCAGCCGGTGTAAGTGTGGAGGTAAGACATCAAATCTTCGACAGCAAAGCAAAAATCTTAGTTGTTGATTGGCGGAAATAGCTTTGAGTTTGATTTTTATCCAAGACTTTAATAATAACGTTGTCTTCCGTCCAAACCATCTAGTGATGTTGACGAAAAATCCTTCGTCACGATAAAACACCATTTTTCTGGTCAACAATTTATTAATACATTTTACTGGTTCAACAATTACCACGATAGATTAAAATTCACTTATGAAATGGAAAGCAATGGTAAATTGAGTTTCCTTGACACCACGGTCATCCGCGAGGGAAGCTCATTGCTCACGAATTGGTTCCGTAAACCAACTTTCTCGGGCCGGTATATAAATTATTTTTCAAACCATCCTATGAAATATAAAATTAACATCGTAAGGAATTTGGTTGATTGGGCGATTTTTTTGTCCGACGCGCGGTTTCACAAGTCTAATATTAGTGAAATAAAAAAGATCCTTATTAATAATTGTTACCCGAAGAAAGTTGTTGATAAATATGTCAATGTCCGGCTTGGCGAATTGCGAAATCGTAACAACAATGATCCTGTCAGTAGCGAAGTGGCCCAAGATCCTCGAAGGTGCATTACTGTACCTTTCATAAAGGGCCTTAGCGAGAATGTTAGCCGTACAATGCGAGACATGAACTTTAGAGTTCTTCACACCATCCCGAAGAGATTGGATTGTGTCATTAGGAAGGGTAAAGACGGGTTGCCGAATCTCAGTCAGACTGAGTTAGTTTATAAGATTGATTGTGCAAATTGTGTTGCGGTATATATTGACCAGACAAAAAGGCATTTAGAAACACGCATCAAAGAACATCGATGTAATATCAGGAAAAATGTAGATAATCATTCTGTTGTGAGCAAACACCGTCTTGCACACAATCATGATTTCAAGTGGCAGCATCCGAAAATTTTATACAAAGAAAAACATTTCAAAAAAGAGAAATATCGGAAATGTTTTTCATTAAAAAACATGATTGCACAATCAATTTACAAAACGATACTGAGAGCCTGCCATCTATTTATAACCGTGTCATTGGTATTACTTAGTCGGCCTTATATATTCGGTTCTGCTCGTTTTTTCACCAGAGCGCCGTTTGCTATCCGCGGATTACGTTTGACAACTTCATTTCGACTTTGACTGTCTTACTGTTCGGACGTTGTGCCTCGATATGGCTGGTGACGTTTTGATTTCACCGTTTGTTTTAGAACGCATAAGAATTGTAAGCTTTTAACTAATTTTTGCAGTCTTAATTGATTTTATTGTTTTTGACTAGCGCGATATTGTTAAGGTGCGTGTCCACCTGCGAGTAAAACTCTCGAGAGTAGCTCTCGAGATTGATTCTGACACTGTCCATTTGAGAGTAATTTTTCTGACATTGTACTCTCGCGAGCATCTCGTGAGAAGCCAGAGAGTATTCTTTCGGAGTGTTCTCTCAAAACCGTGTCCACTTACGTACTTTTTTAGTCGATCTCTGAGAGTGGTGACATCATAATGTCTCGTAAACGAAAAAACTTGCGGCTACTATAGTGACTAGCATTATTTTAAAAAGAAAGAGGGCGTTAAATAACAACAAAAAGACCTTCTGGGTCAAGCAATGTATTGATCGCAGGTGCCGGATCTGCTCTAATTATAGAGAGCTTAAGATTGAAGACTCCCAACAATTAAAAGTTTCTGCAGACTTACAAATTGTAAAGTGGAATACATAGTGCGATATTATTATTTAGTTTTCAGTTTGCGAAATACCTTGATGTTAGATTTTTATATGTAAATTGTAACGATGCACCCCGTGCGCTAAGCATCGTTCCCGGCAAACGACCGCCGGATGCCGCCCGACCGACGATCAGTCGGGCGAAAACCAGGGCGCTGTGCGCCCACATTTTTAAACAAATTCAAAACGCACCGTGTGCGCGGGCCAAGCGCGGCACCGGTGCCTCCCGACGAGCGACGACGGGAGCCGAGCCGCCCCGAGGACGAGCGCGGCGCCGCGCCGCCCCACCACAGCGCGACGATCGGTGCTCCTAGCGAACCCGCCGCGCCGGCCGGGTATATAAACCGCCGTTCCGGCGAGGAAAAGAGACTTCGTTAAAAAGCTCCGCTTCTTTTAGACGAAACCTATCCCGACTCCCAGGGAACACACAAAACGAGGTCCGGTGCTCCGAGCCTCGACTGAGGGCTCTCAGGTGTTCTCGCACTCCTTCAAACTTAACCCCGAAGCACGGTCGTATACACAGGTCTGGCAACTCCGGTGGTGGGGGGTGACTCACTTATTAAAGCTAGTCGGGCTACTAGATCGCAACGACAGCGGCGGCCAAACAATGAATTACAAAACGCGCCAAATTTAAGTACGGTTATAACGAGATAAATAAAGAACGCGATGCTGACTGGCAGGAAATAAATTCGTTGTACATGCAGGCGAGCATGATAAATATGACCGAGTCTTATTATACCGTGATTTTAAATAACGTTTAGTCGAGTGTCTTTAGCTACGGCATGAGACATTTTGATGATATTAGTGTCCGATTCCGGATGAATCATTGATACAATTTTAACATTATTCACTCATGAATAATGTTTAAATTGTATCAGATTTGAAAAAAAAAAACACATTTCAGGTTTACATGGTAAAGAAAAAAGTACAATATAACATTATTATATAAAGAGCAGTTTATTCATTCGTCAATTTTGACAGCTTTTTTTTCACAACAAATTTTTTACTTAATTTTAAGTTTTGTTGATGAGCGTGTTGCCTCATCCTTAACCGAATGTAATAAACTAATGCAAAGGATAGTATGTCAGAAGCGTGCTCTTTGCACGGAAACGTAAAATCATAAATTGTAATAACTTCATCGAACGTTAACTCAAAAACATCCACATAATATGCATATTTTGCGAAGCATGCTTCTACGTGACGGATGAGATTAAAAAATTTAAGATTGGCGTGAATCAAGCCACCACGAGTTTTCATATCTATCAGTTTCGTTGCCGCGTTCGGTACTGAAGCTCGACTGCAGGAATCAATTTTTACAGCTTTTATACAGGTATCGCACGAGTTATAAATTTTTAGGACCTGCTTGCACAGATATCCTAAAATTAAAATCGAATGGCTTTAGCAAATTGTTCAAAAGCTTGAAACGGCAACTTGAGAGCAAAAAACATATAACTACCATAGCAGAGAGTAGAGAGTTTGCCATCACTACTTTTAGGCCCGATTGCTCAATGTAGATTAACTTTAAACTCGGTTTAACTTACTTTTATCCTTTTCTAGTTCGAAGAATTAGAAAAAGATAAAAATCAAATTAAACCGAGTTTAAAGTTAATTTACATTGCAATCGGACCTTAAGTTAATGTACGATTAAGGTGACTTGATACAAGTCCGTCAGTAACGCGACTGTAGTTAAATTTTCGTAAAGTTAATTTTTATAATACGGGAAAAAAGCCAAAGAACGATAATTAATCCGTCACATAATTAATCCGTTAATTGTCCCACAGTAAGAACCGTACCGAAAATCAAAATTGAAAAATGCAGCTATATCTCTTGTCCCCGTCAGATCACCTTAAATGAAGCATGGAAGCGTAACTACTACATACAACTATATACTATATACTATTGCGCACTCATAGCTAAGACAGTACAATAATAATAAATGTTAATGCGTTTGAAAGTTACCAACGGGTTAGTTACGTGTGAAGCAGCGTACAGAAAGTTAGTTAAAAAAAGAAACCTGTAACGTAATATATGATACAGTCAAGAGTGGGAGAAAGGACATCATCAGGATCAGGGGTATATTCAATTATGTCGTCGGCCTCCCAATTCTCATACTCCAAGCTTGCATCCAACTTTTCTTTTATTTGTCGACGATATTTCGCAAATTTTGCCTCGTTGTTCTCTCCGTATATTGTTTTTAATAATTTTCTGATCAATAGCGAATGTCAAGTAGCTTCTGTCATTAACTGACATTGACACCTCAACTTCAGCTGACGCTTTTTCTGAAGACTTCTGCTGATCACAAGAACTTAGTTCCACATGTACAATCTTATCCCCAAAATCGATGCATGGCCTTGTTGTAACTTCGTCTGAGGCTAAATTGATTCGTGGTCTCTTTGTTGCAACTTCGTCTGAGGCTAAACCGATTCGTGGTCTTTTTGTTGTAACTTCATCTGAGGCTAAATATTATCCATCATTAGCAATGTTTAAAATCTAAAGATAATATACACTACACAGTAAGTGTGTACAATACATACTTCCTATAATGGACTGATGACTCTCCGTAGTGTGAACCAGTTCAGGTACCAGTTCGACCTTGTTATAGATAGAATCATCCCCGAAATCGATGCATGGCCTTGTTGTAACTTCGTCTGAGGCTAAATTGATTCGTGGTCTCTTTGTTGCAACTTTGTCTGAGGCTAAACCAATTCGTGGTCTTTTTCTTGTAACTTCATCTGAGGCTAAATATTATCCATCATTAGCAATGTTTAAAATCTAAAGATAATATACACTACACAGTAAGTGTGTACAATACATACTTCTTATAATGGACTGATGACTCTCCGTAGTGTGAACCAGTTCAGGTACCAGTTCGACCTTGTTATAGATACACGATGTATTGTCATCAAATATTGTTGGTACAGCGGAACTGTGTAGACGAGGACGCTGAAATGGAACCTGACAGAAAAAAGAAATATGCAACAAAGGAAATATAAAAAGAACGTACATGAAATAAAAATGGAAATAAAGCTAGTTTTCGTACATTAAAGAAAACTTGGTGATAAAACTTACGTTTGCAATAATCTTTCCATTTGCATCATGTTTGATGTAGTTCCTGATAATATAATGGCCTTCAAAATGCTTCTCGCAAATAAAGTACGTTTCTTTAAATGCCACTACACCAGGAATAACGGCTTCCCATTTGCGCATTTCTATATTTCTCGGCACTTTGAACATTGACAATTTCTCTTTCTGACTTTTGTAACCCGATTTACATTTCGGTACTGCGCACGTTATAACCATTTTGCACTATTTTACTCGCACTGCTACTACACGTGACACAACACACGACCGTGCATTGAACCATTGAACATATAATGATATAACGGCGGCTACGGTCGTGGACTGTGGTACGACCGTGATGGCGGCTGTATACTAGATAGTAGCGACACGTGGTGGAGATATCATAAATTAAAAAACCTGCTTCAATAAGTGTGCTACCCCCACCACTAAAATTCGGCCCGAGTTGCCAGACCTGTGTATACGACCGTGCCCCGAAGGCACGGTTACGCGGGGTCGAGCGCGCTCGGCCCCGCAACGAGGGCTCTCGCTGCCGCCGCCCCGGGGCTCCGGAAATCTTCCATACTACGCTACGCGTTCCCGCACGCATACCATCGCGATACCGCGACATCCGCGAGCATCCAGGCATTATACCGCGTCCGCCTATATGTAATACGGATATGTAATATACCGAGCCCGTGTAATACGTCGATGTAACGATACCGCGTTCGTTATTAAATACCGCGCCGTTATCAAGTGCAAAGGCACTACCTGTAAATATACCGCGTCCGCCTATATGTAATCCGTCTATGTGAAATACCGAGCCTGTGGAATACGTCTATGTAACGATACCGCGTTCGTTATTAAATACCGCGCCGTTATCAAGTGCAAAGGCACTACCTGTAAATATACCGCGTCCGCCTATATGTAATACGGCTATGTAATATACCGAGCCCGTCATCAAGTGCCCCGCACTACCTCTTCGTTGTATATACCGCGTTCTGTCCATCCCTGCGCACATACCGCGCTAACATCCCGCTTCGGGTATACCGAGCCCGCCAAATAACGTGCTACCGCATCTGTTATCGAGTGCATCTGCACTGCCCCTTTCGTTGTATATATCGCGTCGTTTCGTGTATGTAATTTAAACTGTGAATAAACTACTGCATGTCTAAATTGATTATTGTCTCTGGGCCTGTCATCGGACTCCTGATCCCGCACACCAGTCCGCGTTCGACAAAGTCAGGCCGTTACATAATATTTAATAATTTAATTTTCTTTTTTTTAAACGTAGGTACTTAATTCGAGATGTAAAAATATATTTATTTTCAGCACTGTAAACTACAATGTAACTATTATAAAACGTGCAAACTATGTAAAACTAAAGTGTAACTAATTATTGACCAAATAATTAGAGAATGTATTAAAAATATTTTTATCTAATTCTTTAAATTATGAATTTTTTTTTCGCACTTTATTCGCAGAACATAAAAATTTAAAAATTTTTATATTTCTCTCACAGTAGTTATAAAATGTCGTATTCTACAATAGTACATGATTTCCGCATTATTCAATAAGTTCCTTTGTGTCATCAAAAGAACAAACTTTTGCCATCTCGGTTTTTACTCTCAACATGTAGCTCTCAAAATACGAACAGCGTTCGAGTTTGGCGAGCTGATCTCCGAGAGTAAAATAACGTTGTGTCGATTTGCGAGTAGGTCTTGACAAGTTCGCTCGCCGAGAGTTGCGATTCATTCTCCGTTAGGTACTCTCATGAGTATGTCCATTTGCTAGAATCAATCTCGAGAGCTACTCTTGAGAGTTTTACTCGCAGGTGGACACGCACCATAATGATTTTGTATAGTTTTTCTATTGTTAAATGTATTATTTTCTCTTTTGTTTAGTTTTGCGTTTGTCTAAGTTTGTTATGCGGATCGGTGTAACTTGAATTTAAGCACTTGATAAGGACCGGAATTCGGTCAAAACGTCGTGCAATCTTGTTTCAATTGGCCAGTTGGGTCAAAAATAAAACGACTTATATTAAACCCATTCTCGAACAATCAAAATTTTTGAACTGGTTTTAACTAAATCAATAAATTGGTACACAGCACCTTTCATATATATAATCACATATATAATATATATACATATATATATATATATATATATTTATATATAATTATATATAATTATATATAATCTTTTTTTCCCGGGATGTTAGGTTGTATACGGCCAAGAAGGGTATATGTGTAAAGGGTTGGGTACGTCCCTGTAAAACGCCATGTAAAATGTATGTGATTAATGACTGAATGTATAATTGTAAGTTTTTGGAAACGTTTTTCCTGAAAAAAAAAAATGCCTTCCAACCCCGGATGGGGAGAGAAATATAGATGATTGATTGATTGATTGATATAACTCAAAAACTGATCAACCAATCTTAAAGAATTATATATGAAATAGGGGTAGAAAAGACTGAAGAATATAATAAAATTAGAAATAGCCCAATATTTCAAAATTTACAAAAGTTAGAGCAACCACGGGCATTTCTAAAAAAAATTTACAAAAAAAGAAGCCCTTTACCAATTATCGCTAAATTCAATACCAACTTTCCTTAAACGATACTCTATCGATTTAACCCGATATCTCAATATTTGCAGAAGTTAGAGCAACCACGGACATTTTAAAAAAAATTCAAAATTTTTTTAATGCAATTTTTGACGTTTTAGAACATACTGAACACATTGGCAGCGGCAACTAAAAAAAAATTTTTTTCACGAAAACAAAGCTTCTTCTGTATGAGGAAGTAAAAGGGGAAAAAAGAGCGCCAAGTGTTTGCGCCCGTAAAAATAGCTATTGCATTTTCATAAAGATCTAATTGTTGGAGAGCAATTTGAATTAAGCCAAAGATGGCGGGCAGCGCGAGCATATAACGAGAGTATAGCGAGGTGCGCGCTGTACGTCGTGCTGTCGTGCGAGAGTAGTCGGTCGGTCGTGAGTCGGTCGTTGTATCGTAACTATTAGCATCTTTGTAAGACGAGTCGCTCACTCTACGAGAATAAAGTATTTTTTACTAAAAGGTCTAACAGTATATTTAGTACCTTGAGAGTTATACTAACGATAAACCTACAACACACTAATTTTATGTAAAATTTTGATAAACTTACTTTGATTATTTTCATCCTTGGTATTAGAATTATTTAATTCATGTATGCGCTGCTGTATCATCTATATAATAATAGATTACGTAATAGACAAAATAATCCAGGATGTTAATAAAAATATATTTATCACATACCTCATCAGTAAGAGAATGTATCAAATTTGTATCTTTTTTCTGCTTGCGCCCCAAAGCAGTAAGATTGGATATAACATCAGAAAATATTAATAACACGTACCCTACTCTATATACAAAAAAACTTTTAAACCTGAAACATTATTTTAAAATCAAAATTTTCATATATAAAATAAGAACATAAGCGCATATTTAACTAATTGCTTAAGTTTTATGAATAGAATTGGGAAGAAAATATTGTTTTTTCAGTAACATGGAAATTCATTTAATTTCTTTATAACAAAAATTAATTAACTTAAGGTTATTTGACAAAACCAATTTCTTGATACATACAAATATGATTTTTCAGGAACATATAAAAATCTTGTCCAAATAGATTTATTCTTATTGATGTGTTACATAATTTACGTCAACTACAAAAATTTAGAATAAGAAAATGTTACATACCTCTGAAACGCTTTTAGGTATTCGTTGTTTTCATCTGGTCCCAATTTGATACCCATCATAGAATCTTTACAGTAACAACATATAAAAAAATTTTCATTATTTAAAATATTAATATGCATACGATTAAACATTGAATTTTGTATTATACACTGCCTAATTTTTAAATTGCTGAAACTCAATAAAAAATTATCTTGACAAAAATTGAAAAAAAATTTTGAAACTTTGAAGCTAATACTTTACTGTGCCTTTGGCAATTTTTGAATATCTTATTTTCATTGTTCTGTGGATCAGAAATCACATTGTTCTGTTCCTTAAAATTGTATTGTCATTTTTTTAAAGCGGTTTGACAGTTACAGCGTTAAACAGTTTTAAACATAAAATATATGTTCTTTATTTTTTGTTAAGCAATATACATATTTAAATCAAGTATAATACAGTATCAAAGATAAAAAAATATATTGTTATTAAACACATGAGAGTAATTATTATCAACTGTTTAAAGATAACATTAATATTTTTTAAACCTTATTAGTAAAATTGTATAGAAAATAACTTTATAATATAAATATAAATTATAATATAAACATAAATTATATACATGATTCAGCTGGACTTCTGCGTCAAACTCTGAGAATCTATACTATTATTATAAAGAGACAGGGTTTGTAGCCTTTTTTTGTCCGCTATGATCTCGGAAACCATTTGACCGAATTTTTACCAAAAGTATATAAAATAGGGGTAGAATTTTCCGGAGACCCTGGCGGAAAAAATTTCTATGAATAACTACAAAATTAAACTAGAAATAGAAATTTGTACATTTTTGTTAAAATATTTAATTTTTTGTAAAAATAGTTATTTTTTTGTAGAAATATCTACGAAATAGTACCACAAATTACGATGTTCTCAAATCAAGATATTATTGCAAGTAGTATTTTATGAAAAACTACAATTTTATAAAAAATAGTACAAAGATCTACAAATTTTAAAAATTTAAGAAAAAACAAAATCTTAACAAAATTAAAACATCTACTTATAGAATACTACAATTATTTATAAATGACTATAGAAATCTACCACAATTTACGTATCGTAAAACTGTGCAACTTAGAATCTAATTCAGTTTTTAGTTACTCATAAAATACTACAACTGCGCACAAATACTAACAAATACCGATTTGTTTGTACAGCTAAAAAATTTATTACAATTATGGCTAATTAAAATTTGTAATTTTTAGTTAAATGTTACAAGTTTTTACACAAATTTTCCAAAATTCATCTATTATTAATAACTTCTTAATTCGCATAAGTCAAATATACTTATGTTTTTATTTTTATATACTTTGCTATAAGACCTAATAAAAAAAAACACACACAAATTAATGTACAATTTATAACGGTTATACAAATTTATATGTGGATAGATCCATTATAGAGTATATATTCATATATGATTATCTTTAACCTTATAAATATACTTTTACATGATCACTTATGATAATATACTAGTATATAAAACCATATATGACTATATAAAGTTATACTTAAAGAGATTTAGCCATATAATATTGTTCAAGATTATATTTCCATTTCTTATATGCAATCATATATATAATCATGTATCTACTAATATAAACTAATATAAACTAATATGAATAAATAAGAGATTTTTTTTTCCGGGTTATGCAGTTTTAGACATGTGTGTATATGGTGCTGGGTAAGGTTTTTTTTTATAATGACTC